CAAACCTTAAGCTGTTCCTGAAAACCTACTTCTGCAATGACATAAGCAGTGTGGCAACCAGACATCACTTCCCAGTCCCCTCTGAGCATCCCTTGGCTATAAAGCACTATTCAGACTGAATTGGTCAAAAGAATGCACAAGTTGGCTTTCCTTTGCCTTCACCTGCATTGGTGTTAGCTGTAAAGTGGTCAAGAAATGAATCTTGGAAAACTCGTGTAAACTTTAGCTTTTTTCCATAGGTTAATTTCACAGGCATACTGCCATCTGGAGAAATCACATGCAATGGGTAAACAAAACAGTCTAAGAAGATCATCAACACTAGTTTCCACTAGCTCTAGGTTTAACAGTAAATCTTAGAAAAGAGTGACCCTACTTAAGGTAACAGTATCAAATACTAGTGTGCACAAACTTTTCTTCCTCTTATTTTGTAAAGAAAAGCAATGCATCTAATAAAGTCAAGCTATAGGCACTAAACAAACAGCTATATAAAAACCTCTAACGACTTCTCCACATAATTTATCCTGTTAGCCTATATGTTATTTATCTGTTTCTTTATTTAGCAAGCTATGACTTTTACTCTTGGGTTTCTCTTATTTATCACTAGCTGCCACACTGCTTTAAAAATCTTACCTTTAAAGCAGTTATAACACAAAGCTTCTTTTCAACAATATCTAAAAACACCCCTCAATATCATAAAAACAGCTGTGTGAAAATTTAACCCCTAAAAGGTCAAATTTCTGGGTGACTCTGGGATGATTACTAAATGTTTATGTTGAAATGATTTGAAAATCTGAACTATCTCTTTTGATTCCATTTATTTTCTAAAGACAAGAGTCACATTAATCAAATCTCCAAAAATATTTTCAATGATTTTTTTTGAAAAAATATTCTCTTTCTTCTCTCACCATCAGGAAAAAAAAAAAAAAAGAGTAATAAGAATAGCCAGATGAAAGGTGGTAATAAAAAGGCTGCTAACCTCTTTAGTGCAGCACCTGCAGGGGGCAGGTCTCTTAAAGAAGTCATCACTTTGGAGTTATTTTTAAATACATTGCAGGCACTTTGCTTTGTCGTGTACCCATTGACCAGTTGTCACAATGATAGCTCCCCCAGCATCATTCAGAGCTCTGACCTCTCCCAGGAAAAGCTTACTAACAGCCCTCCTAAATTGTCAGAACCTCACAGATTTGAGGATTCGATGAAATAACAACCATAGCAGAATTACTTGGCATACAAGACTAGAACCCCCAATCAAAGACCTAATGTCTAACCATAGTAACTTGAATGTGAGAGTACACATGTTTGCAATTGATCAGACCATATGTGCACAACTTTCTGATAATAAAAAACTTATTGAAGTAAATCCTTTCCATACACAGAGCTATTCATGAATATCATATTTAGCAGTCTCTCCCAGGAAATTAACAATAATTTTGTATTTCTATCATTTTCTTCCCCATTAGGGACACAGATGGAAGAGTAGACCCGGTGTAAGAGTAAGTACAGTTGCCCAGGAGTTAGGCTATTTGGTTTGTTTCGCCACTATCTAGCCGACTTAGTGGATTGGGGGCAAAAGTGTAAGACAGAAAGAATTTGTAAGATTCCTCTTACCCCTGAAGTTATTTTGTCCTATTTATACAAAAACTAGTCAAGTTTGAATTGTCTTTAGATTCCTAATCCAAACTCTGTTCAATTGAATTCATCTTAGATACCCACCCATAGTTTATGAATTTTTCCTACAATTGCCCCAAACCATATTCATAGATGTCAGATATCATTTTTTCCTACATACTCAGGAGGCCTCTCTCACTTTTCTTTCTAAGACAACCCTAACCATTCATGTGCTCTGCTCCTAATGGATAAGGAAAGCAGGGGTGGAAAATCTCAAATGTTCTGTTTTATACCTGGATTCAAAAGCAGCATCTGCTGTGTCTGTGAAACCATCTGTTGCCCACTTTGCCATGGAAAGGATGGTGCAGGCTTCAGGAGTGTCACAGGCCACACAGTGGAATTACCCCTTCTTGGGGCTGATGCACCGGAACATATGCTTCACAGTTATCAAAGCTAGTGCTACCCCTCCCCCATCTAAAAGTTTATTTTCTTACAACTAAGAGTTTATTCTGGGTCAGGCCCAGTTTTTGTTCATTTTTTTTTCTAAATTCCCATCTGCCCAAAGACAGAATTTTAAATTTTATAATTCTGGGTTGTACCTAGAAATATGCCCCTCATTGCCAGTCACTAATCTCTGGACACCTCTTCTATCAAATGAAAAGACTGAAGTTGGTGATCTCTGAGGCTCCATTGTGCTCTAACACTTCAAATTCCTGTGATTTAAACCCAACTTAGAATCATCAATAAGCTCAAGTTTTCCCATGTTTATGGTATACTGAGACCCTTAATGCCAAAGGCAAAGAATCTACTGCAAGGAAAAGGCTTCTCTGACATGATCTCCTTATGTTGAGCTCCTACACTTAAATTTAAATAAGTTTCTTGAGGATCTAAATTAAATTAAGAACCCTAATCTTGTTAACATCTGCCTCTGAGGCAACACTCTAGTACTGGGTTTGGAGCAGGATGATTCTTTGTGTGTTCTGTGCAGGAAGTTTAGCAGCATCCAAGGTCTTTATTTGTTAGATGTTAGTAGTACTCCTCTGCTCCCAGCTATGACAACTAAAAATTAGTTTTTTTTAAAGGAAAGCCAACTTGTGCATTCTTTTGATGTTCCAGCATCCTCTGGGGGACAAACCCTCTTCCCCAAGAAAAACCCCTGCTGTAACACATAGCATCTTTAAGAAAAATCACATCCTTTAGAAGGTTTTTTCCCCCAAATGGATAACATTTACACAATTAACAAAGTACACCAAGACTTAACAGATTATAAACCACATGCATTCCACCTGTAAAAGTCACTCTCTTTCCAAGTCATCCATAGAACTGCCTCCTTACTAAGAGTTGAAAATTTGCATACCCTAACCTGGATTACACTGTAAACTAACCATAATGTCAACTACTCTTTAAAAGTATTCAAAAGTAATTACATCTTCCACAATAACTTCTCCAATGCATTCCAAAACTAACCCGGCTTATAGATTTCAAAATAAAAAATAGTGAAAAGCCAGAGTTTGGTATAATCATTTTGGTTTTTTCTTTACTTACACACACACACACACACACACACACACACACACAAATAATACTTCTGGAGCAATCAGCTTTGCCCAAAGTTCTTGAAAAGAGGATTTAGCAAGCTTTTAGCCCAATTTCCTAAGTATCTTTCCTTCCCCCACTTCACACAGGGGATGGAAGAGACACCCCCTGCAGCCAATCTAGCCCCAAAAGAACAGCAGCTGCCAGCTGCATGAAACAGACTAAAGCCTGCAAATTGACTGAAATGATGACTACTCTAAGCCAAACATCTCATTTTTCCATCTGTGAGAATGGCTGGGATTTGCAAACCTTTGGGTCTCAGAAGGTGAAGGCTACATTAGTTAACTGAGAGCAAAAGCTTGACTCCTCTGTGCTATTAAAGTTAACATCAGTTACTGATGTTTTGGAGATTTTGCAGCTTCTTATTTATATACAGTGTCTAAATTTCTACATTAAATGTATAAAGAAAAAGCCCTTTAAATCACTAAGTTGAGGATGTGAAAAGGGAGCCATGTATAGACACCACCATTACTTCTCAAAGAACCTCAGCTCTTTATTCAAACAAATATTTACACAATTGAGGGCAACGACACCAGGCATATGGTTGTTCTTTTAAATAGTGGGTTACTCCAAAGGTTTATTTATCCTAAACCCAACTACTCTGTTGCTATCCTACCAGGATCCAAGAATTCAAGTGCTCCAAGGGCAAAAGTTTAACCCTCTGAAACTGCGAACCTCGTGCAGATGTCTCCCAGCTGAATTCAGACAGGAGACAAATCTCAATCACCCAGGTTAAACCAAACTAGAAAGCTTAAAGTTACAAGTACAATACTTGAAAATCTCCATCTGGAATCTATACATCCATATAATGAAGGACATGTGGCTCTCAAATATTTACACTAACAAGCCTCCACATTTTAATGCCTCTTCTCATCCCCTCCCAACTGCACCTGGCTGTGACTAGCATAGCATCCTACAACTCCTAAGAGCTGCAGAAGGAAGACTTTAGGAAAGAGGACCAGGCTAGCCCAGAGGATTTCCAGTCTCCGGCAAGATTATCCACATAAAAAGCTACAGTGTCAGTCCTTCTTTTACATATGAAAGGTAAATGAGGAATCTCTGGAAGCAGGTTCCCAGTCCAAAGCTCTTTCAAACAGGAAACCCCAACCCTGGGAGGGACAGCCTGTCAGCCTTTTAATTTCCTGGCGGTGGCGGGAGTTAGCCAGGTCCTCGGCGCTTTAATAAGTGATGATTGCTAGTGCGAAGTTATTAAATGTACCAACAAACATTTCACTATTGCCCGCCGAACAGGGTGCTGGAGAAACAGAGGACTGAAAAGCACCTTAAGGTTTCCAGTCTCGCTATCTCTAAAGGGAGCAGAGACCGCTGCATCATAAAACTTTTCGCGGATCTAAAGTCGAATTAGTATCAGAGGCTCTCGGTTGGAAAGACTCAAGACTGAGGCTGAAGCATAACTAGCCAGACCTTTGGAGACGGGAGGGGGATCTTTTCTGGATCCCACTCCCCACACCATCCAGCTGCGGACCCCCTCTCGAAAGGATCTAACCAGAAGAACCATCCCTCTCTTCTTCAACATTCCAGAATTGTCCGCAAAAGTTGCCCCTGGCACCCCTAAATCCCGCCTGTTCCCTACAATAACTCTGGAATCATCGCCTTCACCTCTTCTCCACGACTCCCTCAACTGGAGGTCCACCCAGTTCCCCAGAATCATACACAATGGGGTTCCGAGTACCCTAAAGTTGCACAGCTCTGGCTCCGGCGACCCTGGCCCGGGCTTTTGTCCCTGTTGACTGCAAGAGAAGCAAAGAAAGTCTGCGCCCTGGGCGCCTACTCACCGTCTCATCTTTCTTCTGAGCTACGGCTCTCTGCGGGCCCCGCCACTCTGTGGCCTGGCCCTTGCCCCCGCCCTCCCTTTCTCCCTCCCTCGGGCCCTAGTCTCGGCCCGGGCCAGGCCGGGACGCAGCTCCAGTCACCACCGTGCGCAAGGCAGCCACTCCGGACTCGCGCTGCGCAGTCAGCGCGCCCCTCGTCGGTCCAGGCGGCCACTGCCTCCTCTCCGCCCCCAACCCTCCGCTGCGCAAACGGCAGCGACCAACTCTACGGCGGGGGAGGCATTGTCCCCAAAGAGCCGCTCGGGAGAACAGAACCAGCACAGCTCCTTGATCGCGGCGGACCGCAGCCCTCTCCTCACCTGGAGCGGAGGCGCAGCCAGGTCCTCTCGACAGGAGACAGGAAGGCAGAGTTGGTGCGCCACGCCACGCCTTGATGCCCCCCCTCGGGCCGCGTTGGTGGGCTCCGCGCCTCTGGGTCCCGCGCCCCGGGCCCCCTTTCCTAAGCACAGCTGCAGGCACCGAGGAATCCAGCAGTCTAGTAGGGTACCCTCGCTGCTCCAGGGTAGTTTGCTGTCGGGGATTTTTACTGCTGCCCCATCATTGGGCGCCACCCTCTCAAAGCCGAATTCACCGCAAGATCGTACAGACTTTTGGAGGCAGACTTTCTTTATGAGCTGGAAGAAGGGCGGGAGAGTACACGTCCCGGAGTGATGATTTTCTCACCCGGTGATGAAGTTTCTGCTGGGGAAACTCCAGGTGACCACACCTCCTCTAGACATTTGGCCCCCGGGTAGGTTTACCTGATGCGTCAGAAAAGCAGCTGTGCAATGACTGGCGAATGACCTCAGGCAAGGGCTGGAGTCTGGAGAGTTTAAAATTCATTCATACTGATTGCCTTGCAGTCGTTTCTCTTAAAGTTTCTATATTTTCTGACATTTTTCTGAGCTGCAGTAACCAATGAAAACAATGCTGATGTGAACGTCCTCCAGCGGTGCGTCCTCGGAAGGCAATAAAATGGACCCAGAGCTGCCCACGGTCCACCTCCGCAGGCGAGAATGCAACTCGCTGCCAAATTCTGGGCCAGTCTCTGGGGTCATAGGGATGAAAGACAACAGCCTTGGAGGAATTTACAACCGCAAGAAAACACAACAAACTATTCAACTAACTATTCAACTTGGGACAGTGTGGCATTTAGGTCATTTAGCTCCCAGAAACAATTTCTTAATTTCTAGCATGGTAATAATGGTACTAATGCTGCAGGCCAGTTAATAAGCTTCTGTATATTATATGCAAAGTACCTGTCACAGTGAGTAGACTTAGTAGTCACTTAACAAATAGCTTATTTCATATGCTTGTCATCTAAGCAAGTAAAAGACCAGCTTATAATCTCATGAAGTACCTCACCTACAAGCATGCTTTAATATATTTTTTAATTTGTAGAAGGACACAATGCCTTTATTATATTTATTTTTATGTGGTGCTGAGGATCGAACCCAGTGCCTCGCACATGCTAGGCAAGCGCTCTACCACTGAGCCACAACCCCAGCCCCAAGAATGCTTGATATTTTATAGGACTTTTTTTTTAACTTTTCTGAGTTTTTGCCCTACAGAAATATACAAGGATCAATTCAGTGGTTAAAGAATCCAGTAATTCTCTTACACATATAAATTTTCCCCTTTCATTGGATCATCCTCATCAAATGTGTTATTTTTTCTCATCTTAAAAAACAAACTCTGTTGTGTCCACTTCCCCCTCCAGCCAGCCATTTGCCTGCCCCCCATCTCCCCCTATCACTTTTTTTCCTGTTCAATTACAGCAAAACTCCATTAACAAATTGTTAAGGAAAGCTGTCTTCAACTTCTGTCTTCCAATTTACATCAGTTGGGCTTTGTTTCTACTATGTCCCTACAATTGCTCTTCTTGAAATCAAACTATAAAAGATACAACAATAAAAGATTGTTTCTTGGTCTTCATCTTACTCAAGCAATTAGCAGTTGATCACTTTCTCCTTCTGGAATCACTTTTACTTGACTTCTGTTATACATTTCCATGGTTTTCTTCCTACCCACTGGATAGGAAGGAGGGTGCCCTACTACACTGCTTCTTATAAGTTTCATTTGTTTCATTGGAGTGTTCTGAGTTCAAACTTGGGACCTCTTGTCTATTCTTGCTCCCTTGGGGATCTCATCTCATAGCATTAAATACTATCTGTATGTTGATTACTCCCAAATTTTACCTCTAGCCTGAATTCCAGGCTCCTGGCAACTGCCCACTTGGTTGCCTATTAAACTTCTCACACTTAAAATTTCCACTGAAATTCCTCCCTCAGTCCTTTAGTCACAGAAATCATCCTCACATCAGTTTTTAAATTTTGTCCTTGACTTCTCTTCTTGCCAATCCATCACCAGAGCTGGGCAAAGGAACTAACTCAGCCAAGTCATTTGAGTGCATTACTTATCCTCATTGAGAAACAAATTGCTATTTTCCAAATTCCTTTATGGATAAATGTGATAATGTCAGTACCATTCTTTGCCCAGGGATAGATAGCACTAATAGTGCCATCAAAAGAATGGTCTCCAACCACAGTCAGTCTTCTGTGGAACTGTTTCTTGTTGATGATATTGACCATGACATTGTACTTTGTCCTACATAAGTTGAGTTCCACATTGTGCACTCCTTTTATAATTTAGTAGTGGGGTAAATTTTTTCTCCGTTAAAAAGATATATTCTTTCCAGTTGGGGTTGTGGGTTAGTGGTAGAGCTCTTGCCTGGCATGTGTGAGGCACTGGGTTTGATCCTCAGCACCATAAAAATAAATAAATAAAATAAAGGTATTGTGTCCATCTACAACTAAAAAATTTTTTAAAAAAATATCTTCATCCATTTTCACATTGGATTTGCAGCCATTGTTAAGGAGAACTCTGTAAACCAATGCTTCCCTTTGTATCTTAATGTTCAGGAGGTTCAGTTAAACTTGCTATTCAATTATTGTGTAATGGTAATAAAGATGTTGCTTTCTCCTCCTTTTAAACATCTTAGATGTATTTTTATTCCCAAAACTTATTGGATATTTGGATTTTACTCTGTGTTCTCAAATATATACTTAAATAGATGAAATATAAGTAACACATTAGCTATTCAAATGAATATGAGAAAATTAACCAAAATTACAATGGAAATCACTTTAACCTCCCAGGGACTCAAAAAGGCAAATACCTCAACTTTGTCTCCTTAACAGGTTTAATGATTATCCCCACATGCTGCTTTATGTTTAAACTATTACAAGGCTGGCTCTCTAATTATACAGCTGATTAATTTCTGCATCAAAACACTCTCTTTGTGCCTTGTCCTCAATCTTTTCTGTGAATTTATTTTGCAGTCAGGCAAGGAAAGGATGCTAAGTGTGATGTGTGAGTATGTAAGTGTGTATATGCATTTGTGCATGTGTGTGTCCTTCGGATTAACCTACCCCCACTGTCTTTATCTGGCTCACTTTTCTAATTACTTGAGGATCTTGAATTGGTCTTCTTTACCTGCATAAAGAGCTTAAAACAAGGAGTTTTCTTTGTAAGTTATCTACTTAAATAGAGGGGGAAAAGTCCCTTCTGCAGCAGTGTTCCTCAATACTGTAGGGATCTCAGCTTCTCTTCTGTTAGTCTTTATTTTTCTTTTTATCTTACTTTTACCATCCTTCCATTTATTTCATACCTTGATTTCAAAAAAGATGTTTTAATGTATGTGCTTGTGCGCACATGTGCATGAGCATGTGTTTTGAGCCACCTGGGGTAGGAATAGAGGTGCAAATTTGATGTGTCAGATATATGTGGACCTCATTGCCTGAGAGGCTTCTGACAACTCAGAGCAGAATTAAAATTTAGAACATGAGGAAAGTTAAAGCAAAGGCCAATTTACTAAGCACCTACTCATTTCTGTACAATGTGTGAGATGCAGGGAAAATGGCGATAAAAGAAAGCATTTTAACAATGTGCCTGTCTTTGAGGAATTTACTGCCAAATATATAACTGGAATGTGATAATACAATATAACATGTACTATAAAGAAAAAATACAAATGACTTCAGATAAAAGGGTATGTGTGCCCCTGTGAGTCCACCAAGGAAGACAATATATATAACTGTCATATTGAAAGAAAAGGGCTTTCTAGGTGGAGGAAATGACACGACCAATGCTAGAGGACAGAAAAGCCAAGGAAGACTGGGAAATGTGAGTAATACAGCCTGCCCGAGCAGACAGAAGGGAGGTGCAGGAGATAAGACCTAACTAGCTGAGGCCAGACTTGGGGAGACCAGAGAGACAGGGGTTTGAATGTTCGATTCCATGTCTAATACCATTTTAATTATGTCATTTCCTTGCTCTAAACTTACACTGGCCCTTCCTTGCCTGACAAACACCGAAGAACCAGTGGCTGTGCAGGAAGCAAAACCTGATTCTATAAGGCTGGGAAGAAAGGGAAAGATGAGTAGGAAGGATAGTAGAATGAATCGGACATTATTACCCTAGGTACGTGCATGATTATATGACCTGTGTGATTCTACATCATGTACAACAAGAAGAATGAAAAGTTATACTCTATTTATGTATGATGTGTCAAAATGCATTCTACTTTCATTTATAACTAATTAGAACAAATTAGAAAAAAAGAGAGAGAAAGGGAAAGATGAGCTTTTGCCATAAAATTTGGAGACTCCAATAAAGTCGTACTGATGGTGTTTCCTATGGTAGACAAGGAATCTCTCCAACAACTGTGTTCACGAAAGCCCCAGGTAAGACACTGAATCTCCTCCCACTCCTGGCTGCTATTCTTTCTTTCATTTTATGGTGACTCCAAAGTTAAAGATCCTGCAATTCTCACAGAAATAAATAAAGAACAGGTAACTTTAAATGGTTGGGTCAAGTGTTGGAGTGGAAATTTAGTGACAATACAATTAAATGATTGCCCCCAGAGTTTCAGGCCTACTTGTGTAAGCTTTTTATTTCATTCATTTATTTATTTATTTTGGTTACTGGGGATTGAATCCAGGGTCACTTAACCAATGAGCTACATTCTCAGCCCTTTTAATTTTTT